ACATTTGTTATAATATAGCAAACACGAAAGAACATTCGTTATTTAAAACAAGGGTGCTTTTGACATTCTATTTGTAATATTTTATACAAAAAGCAAAAAGAAAATATGGGGTCATTTAAACAAAAAAGACCTTTGACTAGGTCATTTAAATGAAGAGCCCTAAGTTGTCACCTATCGCAGCTAAAGTTGACACATACAACAAGATATTGAAGATGAAGGTGAAGGTGATTTCTCGGTCCACGGATGAATTCACTCGGGAACGAAGCCAAGACCTTCAGGTATCAGCCCTCAACATGGCGGTTTTGCTGAATCCCTATCTTATTTTTCTGTTTCTTGGTGGTGACAATTAGGTTTCATTGCCGACAGTGTTCCGTAATTTCGAGTTTCGACCCTAGTAGTCTCCGAACTCAAGAGAAAGCCGTCGAGTATGTTCGCGCTCTCAATGCGGCAAAGTTGGGTAAGGTACCTCTTACTACTCAAAATTTGATGTTGTAGTTGGAGTTTCTATGTGTTCTTCTTTCTTTTCAACCTTGGCTTGAGGATTCAATTGATGGGTTAATGAAATCGCTACCTTTTCGATGCTGAAAGATTTTCGCTCGGCCATTTATTGGTGCTTTGGATGGGCACATTGATGCGATCTCCTCTATGGCTAAGAACCCCGTTCATTTGAAGGGAATATTTTCAGGCTCTGTGGATGGAGGTATACATTTCTCTCATTATTTCTTGTTGCTTTCTAGTTATACACTTTTAGTTGGTACAATAGAGCCCAGAAGCTTTATTAATTTGTATGGGGATGATCTCAAGTTAAAAGGTAATTACTTGGTTGGTTTTCTGAAGACGAAAATTGGAATTAAAGGCATTATACAGTGATTTTTGTTGTACAATATGATGCTCTTGAGACGAGTTTCTGGTACTTTGGAACATCTGAGAACTACTAGAAGATGTGTTACTTGTTTTGACTTGCAGATATCCGTCTTTGGGATTTGGCTAACAGGTAACAATTGTATGCTGCCTATGGTTTGTTATGTGTGGACTACCATTATTTTGTTCGCATGTGTGTATATGTTAGTCTACGGATACCTTTATAAATAAAAAAGATGTAGCGGAATCCAGATTTTCTAGATCTTTTAGGATAAAGATGCAACATTTTAGTTATAGTGCACATTTTGTAATATGTCTAACCTCTGATTATTTTGTACTTGTTATGCTACTAGGCGGACAGTTTCGCCAGTTTCCAGGTCACCAGGGCATAACAAAGCCAAGGTCAGTGGTTCTTATCCATCTGTTTGACCATCCCAGGTTGTCGGCATAGTTTACTTATTTTGGTTATGCACAACTAACGATTTTTTTTTTTTGTGATTGCCGGCAGCCTTTAGCAGTCTACATCTGGAAAAATGCCTTCTGGTAAAGTTATTTATTTTCACCTGCAACTTGTTTCTTATGTAGTTTGTGAAATTATACCATTATCATTAAAATATTTTATTTTTGCTTTTGGTGATTTTTGCCTTGGAGTACTCTTTTTTGTTATGTCATTAATGTTGTTCTTCTTTTACGTGTTCTTCCTTTTTTTTTGGGTTTTCAGGGCTGTTGATCGCCAGTATGAAGGTGAATTTTTTGCTACAGCAGGAGCTCAAGTGGATATATGGAATCATGACAGGTATTATCAAAACACCTTCTGAGCAATTTGGAGAAATATAAGTTTGCAACATTTTATGTTTCTCTTGTCTATCAGGTCTCAACCTGTTAATAGCTTTGAGTGGGGTAAAGATACTGTGATATCTATACGATTTAATCCAGCAGAACCAAATTTACTTGCAACATCATCCAGGTACACTTGTGTATAAATTGAGGAAATGCTTCTATTGAGATAGACAAACAAATTGTGCTGCAATTATTCAAACCAGATTCATCATATTTGTGTCTTCACTCTTCCGTATACTTGAATGCACGTTGGACAGTCATTCAGTAGCCTTCAACAGTTTATTTATTTATTTATTTCGAAAAGGTAGATTTAAATAATACAAACACATAAGTACAGCCGGCTAAGTAGCCGGAATCAGGAGCCCAACCCCAGGTAGCCTAAAAGCCACAATACAACACAACGCCCAAAGAACTAAAAGAATTCCCCATGGGAGAATACAAACTCCACTAGTGTAGAATACAAAAACTCTAGTAGCCATCAACAGTTAAAATCATCATAATGCACGTTGAACAGTTGTTCAGTTGTTCAGTTGCCATCTGCAGTTAAAATAATTGTATCTTACTGAATATTTTTCATACAAGCTGCTTTTTGTCACATCCATTCCAATCAGGAGGAGGATCGATAGGATCCTGGATCCTGAACAGGCGGAGGATTGATAGGATCCTGAACAGGAGGAGGATTGATAGGATCCTGCACAGGAGGAGGATTGATAGGATCTGAACAGATGGAGGATTGATAGGATCCTGCACAGGAGGAGGATCGATAGGATTGACAGGAGGACCGAGAGGAGCACCGTCGCCGCCCGCCGCCTCCTTCTTGCAGAACATGTGGTAAGGGAACCAAAGTAAACGTCTATGTTGCGGCGTCGAAATCTGTAGAGTATTCAAAAATTAAATCTATAGTAAACATCGCGAAAAAATACAATAACGAAAAGTTTACCCAGCAGTTTCCGGTAGTGTCTGTCTTGCAGCACTGAATTAGCGAAATCAATAAACTCCATCTCTCCTCCGTGGTGTAGTGGAGCGAACGCGTTGAAATTGTGGAGATTACGGTAAGCAGTTGGAATGACCAGAAATGGCTGTCTTGAAAGTCGATTCTCACTTTGTAGTTTGCTTCGAAAAACAGCAAGTTCATGGTGTTGATGAAATGCTGCCTATGCACATCTCCTCTCGGACGATAGGCAGCATTTCGTCAACACCATAAACTTGCTGCTTTTCGAGGCAAACTACAAAGTAAGAATCGACTTTCTAGACGGCCATTTCGTGTCATTCCCAACTGCTTACCGCAATCTTCACAATTTCAACACGTTTGTTCCACTACACCATGGTGGAGAGATGGAGTTTTCTGATTTCGCTAATTCAGTGCTGCAAGACAGACACTACTGGAAACTGATGGGTGAGTTTTTCGTTATTGTATTTTTTTCGCTATGTTTACTATTGATTTAATTTTTGAATACTCTCCAGATTTCGACGTCGCAACGGAGGCGTTTACTTTGGTTCCCTTACCGCCTGTTCTGCAATAAGGAGACGGCGGCGGCGTTGCTCCTCTCGATCCTCCTCTTGTTCAGGATCCTATCGATCCTCATCCTGTTCAGGTCCTATCGATCTTCCTCCTGTTCAGGATCCTATCGATCTTCCTCCTGTTCAGGATCCTATCGATCCTCCTCCTGTGCAGTATCCTTTCCATCCTCCTCCTCCTGTTCAGGATCCTTTCAATACTTCTCCTGTGCAAACTCCTATCAATCATCCTCTTGTTGTTCCTCCGCAGCCTTCTCTAGCCAGTGCTCATGTGGCGAAATTTGCCTTTCTCAGGCCGTTTCTGAAGCCTTTATCCAGCTTTCCCCTGACGTGGACAACCATATCTCAGGGACTGAGAGATTATGTTGCTAATATACTCACAACTGAAAGTATTCCCTGGATGCAGCTGATTTGGAAGGTCTAGTGGCAGCCACCCTTGATTTGTTACGTCAGAGTTTGGTTGCGGTTCAGGTGGAGACATAGTTGACGGCCCTAATGGAATTTATAGAGGTACATTAATTTGGTTAATTATTTATTTATTTTAATCAGTTGAACAAACATTCGCTATAATCACGCATTCTTCCGTATTTAATTTAATCAGTTGAATAAACATTCACTATAATCACGGATTCTTCTGTATTTAATCAGTTAATGATTTGTAATAAATCACGGATTCGCTATGAAACACGGATTCTTATCTATGAATCAGTTAATGATTTTGTAATTTAATCAGTGGTCAGGAGAGCTCTTGTGGAACGACAGGAATTATGTAGCCTCAAATAGTGATGGACCAGCTTTCTTCTATCTTCTAGCTGTTTATTAGTATTTTGGGTTTTGATGTTTTTTTCGTTTTAGGTCACTCTAGTCCTGATTATTGTTGTTGGTCTTGGTTCTTAGTAGATATGTATTGGAGTTTCTAGTGATATGGCTAGCTTCAATCTCCTGTTAGAGTCGGTTTTAGTACACATGTGTAGGTGTTGCTCTCAGTTTCATGTCGACTTTCTCGGGTGATTCCCGCTATGTACTTGATCTTGATTCACATTTATCTATGAGAATTCTATCGTTGAAAAAAAAAACAACAATCTCTATTTATTTGGTTAATACTTAATAGACTGAAATTATTTTATTTTTCCATCTCCTCCAACCTTCCAATGACAAATTCTTCTCTCACTTGCAGTGATGAAAGAAAGAAAACCTGAAAACCTCTCTTACAGGTAATGACCTCTTCGGCTCATTTTTTTTAATTGTTATCTCATTTTTTAGATGGTTCCTATTTTGAAGTTTTTTTTGGTATTATTTTTTTTCTTCTAAGTCTCATCATGAACTTTAATTATTGTTTTTTTGATATATGAAGTATGAACTATATTTTCAAAAAATAATTGTGTTCTAATATCATTTTAGTTTTTGTAAGTTTTGATATTTGATTAATTGTTATTATACTCTCTATTTTATTGCATTGCCTAGTTTATTTTATTGCGCCTAGTTTCTCTGGAATTATTGATTTCAGATTCATATGCGTGCATATAAAGACCGAAAATGCTGAATTGGGTTTTAGCAGTTGAATTTTACCTTGTCTTGAGTTTTAGTTACTTCGTGTTTTACCTTTGGTTACTCGAAAGACAATTTATCGGTATGTCGTTCTTGTACTGTGTGCATATAAAGTTCGAATATGCTGAATTGGGTTTTATCAGTTGAATTTTACCTTGTCTTGAGTTTTAGTTACTTCGTATTTTACCTTTGGTTACTCGAAAGACAATTTATAGGTATGTCGTTTTTGTACTGTGTGCATATGAAGTTTGAAGATGCTGAATTGGGTTTTATCAGTTGAATTTTACCTTGTCTTTAGTTTTAGTTACTTTGTATTTTACCTTTCGTTACTGAAAAGACAATTTATCAGTATGTCGTTCTTGTATTGTTTAAACATTACTTACAAGAATATCGATGTGCATATGATGTGATCTTTTGCTAGTTAACTGCTTGTGTTTTTTATGTCTCGGTTGGTGGGGATCCTTTCGATAGGAACAGTTAATCATTTAACTGCTTCTGTATTTAATCAGTTAATGATTCGTAATAAATCACGGATTCTCGATATTGCTCGATATTGCTCCTTATATTGTGGTTAAAGCTAATAAATGAAACTAGCCCCTTGTTGGCTTTGATTGCTTCGGCTCGTTAAGGTTCTATGAATGAGTCGAGAGGTTAAGGCTCAAAATTTGGAAATTTTGTATAATTTTCTATAAGGCTCAAGTTCGATCAATTATTAATATTGATAAACGAGTCAAATTTGAGCATGCTTATGAGCTTGTTTAGTTAATGACTAGGTTACATCCCTTGGTCCTTCTATTTTTAAGAAAGAAAATGTTAGGTAAACAATCTAGAATTTCCACATGAATAGTCATTTTTTAGTTTGATGTTTTATTTTGCTTCAAACCTTGGGTCGCTACGAAAACAACCACCTTGTATAATTACAAGGGTAAGGTCTGCGTACAACTGACCCCTCAGACCCCAACCCGTTTGGGAATATACTGGGTATGTTGTGTTGTGTTGTGTTGTTTTATTTCTTCAAATTAGAAGTATATATATATTGCTGTAGATAGATCTAACCATTAGGTTGGCATACTTCTTTATAAATATGCATAATTTTATTTTAACAATTTTTTTTTTATTGTGTAATTATTTATTTTTATTCACATTAGTTTCTTATTTTTGTTATTTCATTCAAATCTATGAGATACATTTTTTATTATATTTGAGACGTGTGTAGTGATGGGCTAAATTTATGTGTGATTATAAATATTTTGGATCAATATTAAAACATTTACCTTTATTTACAGATAGACAGTTTTCATTTCTGACTGCCAACCAAAATTTATTCGGGTTTATTGCACCAAACATCCTTTATTATATTAAATCTGCGCGTTTTTTCCCTGTATTTTAAAAATTGCGTCATACCCTCTTGTATTTAAGGTTTGCATGCACACGCTCTCCTTTTACTGTTTTCATGTTACCGGCGTTAATATTTTTGTAAAATTCTCGTTATGCCCTTCGAATATTATATTTATATAATTCTGATAAATTGAATTTATCATGATATATCCAGTATATCGCGAGAAATTGAATAAAAAAAATGTTGCGCCTCTAGGATTCGAACCTAGGACCTCCTTGAGGGAGGAGCATGCATACAACCACTGTACCACTCATACTTATGTGTTAGATGTGTTAACGTTTAATATATATTAACATTGCATATGGATAAATAAAATTAAATTTAAAAGATAATGTAAATTATATTAAATTAAATTATTAAAACATAAAAAACTTAAGATAAATTAGAATACAAAAAATTTAAATTATATAAAATAAAACAAAAAAAAATTAATTTAAACAACTTATTATATTAAACAAAAGAAAATAATTAAAATAAAATATAAATAAATCTAAAAAATTACAGATAAAATAATAATATTTATTGTATTTGTTTTAAATACTTTCATATACATTTATATTTTATTATTTATTTTAATTTGTATTACTCCATATTATTTTGTTGCATTATTCTTTTTATTTCATAGTTAACAACTATATTTATTTTGTTTAACTTAAGACAATGAAATAAAATTAAAATAAATTTTACTAAATAAAATATAAAAATTAAAATTATTTATTTATAATTAAAATCATGTATTAAAATATTAACTGAATAATTATATTTTAAATTGTAGAATATAAATAAAAAAATTCTATTATTCTTAACTAAAAAATGAATCATTATAAATAATTATAACGGTAGAAATACTAAATAAAATATAAAAATTAAAATTATTTATTTATAATTAAAATCATGTACTAAAATATTAACTGAATAATTATATTTAATTGTAGAATATAAATAAAAAATTCTATTATTATTAACTAAAAAATGACTCATTATAAATAATTATAATGGATTCTAATTTTAGCATTTTTTATTTAATAAAACATAAAATAAGAATAATAAAATTAAATTATTTATTAGAAATTTTAAAAAAACGAATTTTACAGAAAAATTAAATTTATATATTTCTCTATTTTTTTAAGAAGATAAATAATATAAAAACTAAATAAATACAAATAATATATAGCTATTGAATTAAATTTGTTTTATTTATAAAATAACTTTTTTAATAATATATAATAAATAAAGTATCATTTATTTCATTTTAAAGAATTTTATTTTATTTATTTATATATATATATATATTATATTACTTCAATTCATGAAAATATATTTTAATTAAATTTATTTTATATTTATAAATTTTTATTTTTTAATGAAAGTATCATTTTGTGTCAATATTAAATAATAAAATTATTTTATTATTTTCAAATTACACATTTAAATTTATTCAGTTTAATATTTAATTTATTTTATTTCAATTATATTTTCTTATAGTTAATCTATTTTTTAATTATTTATTTTATTTTTTGTTTGATAAAGTTTTGTTCTCTTTGTGTTCTTTTAGATAAGTGTGTGTCAAATATATACCATACAATGATGGTAGTAAGGTGGTTTGGTGCCTTGTGTGTAGAGTTTTTGGCCTGAGATCGAACCCTGGGATAAGCAAAATATTTTTCAGTATTTTCAGGGGTAAAACAGTAATTTCAGTCACTTTAGGGTGAAAAAATGAAGAAAAAGTCGAACAGCACGCGCGTGCACTCCACTGCCGTCATCTTAGACAGTTTAGGGAGTTTCGCGCATGCAAACCTTAAATACAATGGGGTATGCCGTAATTTTTAAAATATATGGGGAAAACGCGCAGATTTAGTATAATACAGGGGGATTTGGTGCAATAAACCCAAATTTATTCTTTGAAATTCATAACGAAATAATTTTTTAACAAAAATATTATTCATCTTATTTCTTTTATTTACAAACCTCACTACCACAATTAATAAATAAAAAATAATAGGTATTATATATTATCTAAAAAAAACACTATGTATCCATTTTTACATATTTCTAACTATCACTGTTATCAATTAAAATTTATTTTCTTGTATATCAAATCATATTTAATCATTTAATTTCTCTTTTTTATACATTCCCAATCTCAAACTTATCTCAATTTTTTTAAAAATATTTTTTTTTTACTTTTATATCACTTTTTCAAATGCAGACTTTTATTTTTTTAAAAAAAATCTTATAAACAATATTACCCTTATTGTTTAATTTAGAAATTGATCTAAAATGCACCCAAAAAGCAAGGCTATAATATACGAATAAATACTTTTTCAATCACTTTTTTGAAAAAAAAAAATATGGAAATGCCTACGCAGCCCTTAGCTAAGGGAAATGTATTGATAAATTCTCAATCCTAAATTCATCTTCTCATTCAGTCTTTAGTAAAAAAAATTTCCATTCAACTCCCTAGTCAACAACTTTAG